TAGCTATAATGACCGACGGAGCTAGTGTTATGAAAAAAGTTGGAAGGTTGCTGGCTGCAAATCAACAATTATGTTTTGCCCACAACATACAACTTGCTGTAATTGATGTTCTTTATAAAAAAAGAGAATTCGATGCAAATCAGCCAGAATTTGAAAATGAATTTTTTGACAGTGATTCATCCGAGAATGAGGATATTGAGGAAGATTTACTGGGCTACAATCATGAAACTTTAAGATCTAAAATTGAACTAAATAAAGTTCATTATGGACCAGTCATTTAAAAAGTACGCAAGTTGATAATAATATTTAGACAATCAAATACCAAGAACGACATCTTACAAAAATATATTAAGGCTGAATTTGGAAAACAACTGTCTTTAATTATGGATTGCAAAACAAGTTGGAGCAGCCTTCTGTTAATTCTTAAACGATTTTGTAAAGTAAAAAATTGTATACAAAAATCATTAATTGATATTTACACAGTGCAAGATATAGTTATAGCTCTGTCGCATGATGATATGGCAATATTATCAGACCTTATTACAACTTTAATTCCTATTAAAGCAACGGTTGAAGCACTTTGTCGCCGAGATTCTAACCTATTTACAGCAATTTTATGCTTACAAAATTAAAAGATGCTGACAATGACACAAACAAGGAAATGCGTACAGCTTTAATGGCTCGTATACATGAACGCCGAACTGATATGAATCGACTTCTGCAATATCTGCATTAAGGTCAAAGTTCCGTTGAAGTCGATGAAGAAATAATTACAGTGTCTTCTTCATATAAATGTCAAAAACTGTTGGTAGAATTGCTGGAAAGATTAAACGCTTCCAATCCTGCTTTAGTAAGTTTCCAATCTTGTAAGTTTAGTAAGTTTCCAATCTAGTAGCTTCCAATCCTGCTTTAGTTTAGAGCATCAGTTGAGTCTGATATGCTGGATTTTATTGAAGATCCTGAAACTGAAAATAACACTTTAAGTATTGAAGCGGAGCTTGATCGTCTAATTAAAGAAGCGCAATCACCGATGTAACCAGTTAGGCATGAAACACTGTTTTCAAAAATTCAAAAAAAAATGACATTATTTGAAAATAGTGGTACACGTGGCTATTTAGAAAGAGTTTGTTCATTTCTAATGACGGTGAAACCGACAAGTGTCGAGGCTGAGCGGGTGTTTTCTTCCGCTGGGCTGTTTAATAATAAAATTCGTAACAGGTTGGGCGATAAAACATTGGACGCCTTGTGCTTCCTGAAGTCACAATTCAAAGCACATGAAACATGATATATTTCCTTATTTTTAATGAAATTTCTTAACATTAATCAGCATGTTTTTCTTGTGTGCATGTAACAATGTAATGCAAACAGCATCATTTATAAAATATATTTTCGTTTAAGAGTGTACAGTTTTTATTCTACTTAATACTATATAGATGCTGTATTTGTTTTTCAATCCCGGGATTGAGAAAGACCTCCGGGATTGCAAACCCTAGCTGAGATATTGTGTTTTGAGTTTATAAATTATGTTAAAATCTTCATTTTCAGATATAAGGCAAATAAGTAAAAAAAAAAAATTAAAAATATCCTTTTTTTTAGATATTTTTAGATAATCGTTCTTGATCTTCATCAATCCGACCTTTCCTAATTCCTTTAAACTCTTTTCTTCTTTTTTTTTTTGTGGTTGTTCTTTTTTTACCATATTTTGTAACCGCTTTTGGTCTTTTTGACTGAACTGGTTATCGTATTTTTTCCAAAGTCTAGATAAATATTTAAATATTTAAACACATGATAAATACCAGATAAACCTTCATTAAAAGAACTGCTGAATTTACTCCCATTTCAGGAACATCTGTCTTTACTTATTTAGTCCTTTATTACAATTTTAAGTTTGCCCATGAAGACATTTTTTCAATAAATTGTTGTTACTCAATTCATCAAAGTCTTTCTTGATAATTTCATAAATACATTCAGGCAAGTTAGGAAAATTGTTTTCATCTGCATCTGGATTTTTACTTTTTTTTGAAGTATTGTTACCTTGAGTTAAGAGTTATGTTATAATTGAGTTTTTGTTTTATTATTGTTTATTTTATTTTGTTTTATTACAATTTTATTATTGAGTACTTAATGAGTTATCTTGATATCTTTGAGTTATCTTGAAGTATTCTTATAATTACTCATATATACTCACTATATATTTAATTTATTAACCAAAAAAAAAAAAATTCAAGTAAACACTGTATCAACACAACTTGTGTTAATATAATGGTTTGTCACATAAATAAGTAATCAAATGATCAAGAAATGATGCAATTTCAATAAGTAAAACGGTTTTATTCTTAAAACTGAACAAAGTTAGCCTCTAAACTAAACCTTTTATTATTGCAGAACACGAAAACATATTAAAATAGAGGTTAAACAAAAGTTTTAATACTGCTTTTTTCCGTTGCTATAGGCGTTGCAAAGGAAACTACTTTATATCATGTCTGCAAAATGCAAAGTAGTAGCTTAAAAAATTGAAGTTATTAAAAAATAATTATACCATCATTTTCACCTTATATTTCCTGTGAAGCCACCTTAAACAACATTAAGCAATAATAAAATTTTTCTTTTGTCAAATATATGAAAAATACTTTGAAGGTTAAATATTTTGTACACGTGCAATATCGAGAAGTTTTACTATTGGAGTTAGAGTCACGATATTGTTTAACGACTCCGACTCCACAACTCCGACAGCCCTGTATGAAAGTATTTTTGCATGTTATGTTTAAAGCTGAATCGGTTTTATATGCAACTTTAAACTTTAAAGTTTTTTTTCTCAAAATGAATATTTTTTATCGATGTCACATTTTAGCAAATCATATCTTTTAGCTACATTTAACAAATCATATCTTTTAAACTATAGATGGTAATCAAATTTTCAGGGTTTTTATGAGTTGTACTTGCAACTTAAGCTAAAAACATTTAGGTCTTTACTTTTAAATCAAGAAATATTCTTGTTTGTATTTTACTAATTTTTTTTTGAACAAATATTTAGGGCAATCGAGGCAAAAAAATTTCTTTTTCAAGTTTAAGTTGTAGACCTTTTTTTATAGAGCCTTGAGTGAAAGTTTCATTTAAAAATATATTTTTTAAATGAAACTTTGGCTCAAATTTGAAGCTATTGTTTTAGTTATTGTTAATTTGATCTTTAGAAGAGTATAGAATAGAAGAGTATGTTGACGTCATTTAAGTTAAATAGGTGCTGTTTGACTTAATGTTAAGAGATTTGATGACTTAATGTTTTTTATTTCTTCTTTAAGGATCGAATTCCATAGCCGCAGTCCTCGAGATAAGATAGAGAAGTCAGTTATTTTAAGTAAAGTCTTCAGAATGTTAAAGTTTTGAAAAGAGTACTTTGTTGGGTATTTGTAATCAACGGTAGAAAATTGATTTTGAAAGTATTTTGGTAGTAAATTGTTTTGCGATTGAAAGAAAAATAATAAATTTTAGAGTAGATTCAGTTCATAAACATTTAGGAGCTCCAATTTCCCTGAATAATGGTTTGGCATGGGTATATCTCTTAGAATTGCATACAATTTGACACGCTTGCTTTTGTTTTACATATATTTTTTTTAGTACTGAAGAGTATGTGCTAGTCCAAACGATATTGCAATAGTTGATATAACTGTGAATGAACGAATAACGTATATTTTACAAGCAAGTTTTATTTAGGTGTTTTATTTTATGCATGATGCCGATTGACTTAGAGATTTTATTTTCGATGTGCAAAATATAATATCTTGATATTTCGATGTGCAAAATATATTATCAAAAATATATCTTCCAACTAAGGATTATTCCCAGGATTTTCATCGAATGTATTTAGGTTTAACAGCGAAAAAAAAGTTGATGAAGAATTAAGAAAGGTAGAAGCCTCACTGACGTTAAAATAATTAGTTTCGATTGAAAGTTTGTCAAAAATGTTTACGTCAGTATCAATGTCATTTGTTAAAAGTATATCTCTATGAGACATTTTTTTTTTTAAGTTGATTTAGGTGCCCCAAGAAGTCCTTACGGTCTTATCACAGAGCACCGCGGAAGAACATTTAATAGGAAGTTCACGCCTCCTTCCCAACCGATGTTTTTTTTAAAGGTGAGTTTCCACTCATCCGTGAAAAAACGGATGAGTGGAAACTCACCTTTAAAGTATTTTGTAAACAAAAAACGGGCCAGTCAGAACGTAACAAAGATATTGTAATTACGATACTTTGGGTTAAAACTCATTTTTGTTAGGTACTATTGGCAATAATTATTTTTAATTTTCTTAAGCAAATAATGATTTCTTTATTAACAACCGATTGACGTCTTTTCGACCTCTTTTCTGAAGACGTCTTTTTAAAAGAAGTCTTTCCACGTCTTTATTTTTGCTGATTATGAAAAGACATAATAAGTCATAAAAAAGACGCCTTTTATTCGTCTAAAGATGTCTTTTTTCTCACTGGGTAGTATCTTGAGCGAAAAATGGAATATTTTCAAAAATAATAATGCTGGATCCAAAATTTTTGCGAAGAAAAATTTTTTAGGGATCACTGCTCACGCTCCACTTAGATATTTAGGCACCCAAAATTTTAGTTCCATATTTGAATTCCTTGGCCCAAAAATCCCTATTTTAATATTAAATATCTATACAACTCACATTTATTTAATAGTTTGATATTTTTTTCCGTTTTTAACTTTTTCCGCCTCACTGTGCTCTGAGGCACAACGCCTGCTCAGCTATATACGAGTCATTATTTGGAAAAGGCATTTTGGGTTGTCCATAAATTACGTCACAATCAAGGGGGCGATTAGTAGTTTTGTGTTTGTTTGGGAGCGATCCCTTTGGGAATTCTTTCAGAAAGCATCAAAACCTCTTATAAATGCGCTTCTTCGGTGCTCTGCAACTTTCGATAGAAAAAAATATATAAACGAAAGAAAGGGACATAACTATTACTTTTTCGGCTTTTAACGTGCGACGGACCTCCACATTAATTACGACAAAGCTCCTCCACATGGTTTTTTTGCTTTGTTTTAATTTTAAAATACTAATTTTTTATATATTTTTGCTACAATTTTAAAATTTACTGCAAAATAGTTTTAGAAGAAAAATGCAAAGTTAATTTTTGATTATGATAATTAAAAATTATGATTTTTCAAACTGAAAAGAAATAAATTAAAAAGAAACTTTGATCAGTTCATCAAAAGTCTCCACAAATTTGCTACATAAAAACCAGATGACAACAAAGTAGCTTAAACAAACAGCAATAATTGACCTTTAACAACTGTATTATTCAATACTGTGGCTATATATATACTACATTGTTTATGTATGTTTTTTTTATTTTCTTTATTTTTGTGTGAGTATTTTTTAAAACTTACATTTTCAAAGTTTTTAAGATTTAAAATGCATATGCAATTTTTAATTTTTCAAATCGCGTATAGTATTTTAGAAATTAATTAATCTTACAGACCTCCTATTTCCCAAAATACCCCATACTTTTATAACATGCACTATTTTGTCCTAAACTATTAAAATTTTCATTTTAATTTTCAAGGGTTACTTAAGAAAACTGTTACCAATTTTAGAATTTTTCATGCACTTTTTATCTTTTTTTAATGATAATTTTGATAAATAAGTTTAAAGTTTTTTGAAATGAATATTATTTTTGAAATTTTTATAAAATTATGATTCATTTGAGTACCAGGTTGACATATTTTTGATGTATACACACACGCACACGCATACGCACACACACACACACACACACACACACACACACACACACACACACACACACACACACACACACACACACACAGATATATATGTATATATATATATATATATATATATATATATATATATATATATATATATATATATATATATTCATAAAATCAAATATTTAAAATTTGTTAAAATATCGGTTATAAAGGTGTTAAAAAAACAATACAAAATATAATTATTCTTGTACAAACTAATAATAATATAATTTCAAAAATACGATAAAATCAGTTAAAAAATTCATCATGTCATACAGAAGGAATAAGAAACAACAAAAGAATAGGTTAAAAAGATATACAAAATGTATAAAAAATAGCAGCTAAACAGAAAGTGTCATTTGTACATGGTTAACCTGTTTAGTCATACCAGGTCTTAACCATTCTATAAACATACTTTCTTTAAGCTTTAGACCAAAGTTTTTAGATGCCGAATCTAACACAGAAAAACACTTATCATTTATTAAAACAATTTTCATTAGCATGGAGATGTTTATAAATGTGAGACTTTTTGTCCTTCTTGTAATAATCAGATATCCGGGTCTTGAGAAACGAGTAGTTTTGTCTATATAACAGGAGTTACATCCTGCACATACGAATTTATACACCATAAGCAAATTGAACTCTAGAGGAATATGATCTTTAGAAGAAAAGAATTTAGAAATTTTTAGTGAGTTAAATACTAGTTTCTTTAGTTACCACTACTATTTTTCATAAAAAAACCTATTCTTAATAATTATATTTTGTATTGTTTTTTTTAAACACCTTTATATTTTAACAAATTTTAAATATTTAATTTTAACTGAAGATGACTAGTGTTAGTCCAAACATGTATTGTTTTTTATTAAAAAAATGGTTTTAAAAATTAGAAAATTTGTCTTGTTTATGAATATATATATATATATATATATATATATATATATATATATATATATATATATATATATATATATATATATATATATATATATATATATATATATATATGTATATATATATATATATATATATATATATATATATATATATTTATATATATATAAATATATATATATATATTTTTTTATATATATATATATATATTTATATTTATTATATATATTATATATTTATATGAATATATATATATATATATATATATATATATATATATATATATATATATATATATATATATATATATATATATATATATATATATATATATATATATATATATATATATATATATATATATATATATATATAAGTTTTTAACTTATACCTGCTAATATATACTGTCATATATACTTATTAGACACCAGCAGTTTTCAACTTAGAAAAGTTAGTTGCTTTAAACTTAAATTTAAAGAGACTTGATTTAATTTATTCAAAATAAACTCTCTTAAATCAGCTAATTTTGATAGTGTAGTTTGAAATTATACCACCTTCTTGGATATGATAAATCTAATTAAACATAAACCTTTAAAATGAGGCTAATTTTTTTTTTAGTTTTGCAAGACAAGATTGATTTAGTTTTTGATTGGCAAAATAGTACCAAAATTTTCAGGGCTTTTTTTCAATAAAACCTCAGCAATATTCAGCTTTTTTTTTTTTTTTTTTTTTATTCTTTTTTAAAGTTATTTTTTAAAAAGATGTTGATACAATTTAATTGTAAAAATTTTAATTTTGAAAAAAGTTTTGATGTTGATAAATTCTATTAATTTATCAACTTCAAAACTTTTTTCAATCTTAGTAAGCACAATAAAAAATTAACAACAAAAATGTTGTTCTGTATGATTTTGACAATGATGCTAAGGTTGAAAAATTATGTGTAAGGTTAAACAATGTTTAAAATTTTTTCATGTGTAAGATTGTTAGATTGCACTTATTTTTTTGGGATTGTTATCTGTTCCCAAAGTGAGAGTCTTGTTCAACCCTGAAAGACCGTTTAAATGTGCGAAACAAAAATATGAAAGTTGCAAGAGTTCATGATTCTATTTTATTTTGAATTAATTCTATTTAAACATATAATTCAATATGAAATGTAGATTTTGTATTAATAATAATATTTTTTTAAGATGGCAGAAATTGGCAGAAATAATGAAGCGGAAGTATTTTTTAATTTAAATTATTTTATATGCATAAAAAATGTTTTTAAAAAAAATATCTATGTAGTTAGATAAACTCAGGGCTGGCGCGAGTGTGTCACATGGAGAGGGGGGGGGTTGCCAATGCAATTTTGCTGACTGAAAAAATTCCTTAATTAAAACAGGCAACTAAATAGACTTAACATAAACAGTTAATTAAATGGACCATAAGTTTCTGTTTGAAAACATTTGTTTGTTTTATTTTAATTTTAAATGATACATTTCTTTACAAATCTGCAAAAAAAAGTCTTAGTTTAAGTGCTTCATATAAATGTGATTTTTCAATTTATTTTTAAAATAAGATTTTTATGTTTCTGTAGACCTTTTTTTTCATCAAAATTCTTTTTTTGTTAAATTGTCTTCTGTTTGAAGCGATAAAATACCAGAAATTGACAATGCCTAGTCTGCATCCATATTTGCTATATAATGTAAAAATTGCTGGTGCCTAATACTTATATATTTTTATTGTTATGGAAACAGTTGACACAGTTTGGTATTTACTGGAAATGCACTGGTATCATACTACAGAAGTTATTGAGTTACAAACACCATCACGAAATGATGGTATTGATTATGAAACTGAAGCCAGATACAGAAAAGAAGGTGCACGGTTTATTATGGAACTTGGAAATAAACTTGGCTTGTATCTTTTCATAAAGAAACTTATTTTAAAATAATAAATAAAATGTAAATCAATTTATTGAATTTCTAATGTGATCAATTTAATAAATAAGATTTCCACAAAACATTTATTGGCAAATTTTAATTTATTTTAAAAAATGTTTTCAGTCTAGGTTTCTAAATTAGTTGGCTGCACTGTATGCAATAATTTGATTTTATCATTTTCAAACATCTTTTTGATTCTCTAGTTACTAATAGTACAAGTTTCATCAGTGATAGGAAGTTCAAGTGTCCTATACTTTTTATTTTTACCCAGGCTTTTGAATCTCATAATTTGATAAATTTGTTCAGACTCCACAATAGCTAAGGAAAAATATGTGACCTGAAGGAGACTTTTTTTCAGTTTATTGTACCACAAAAACATATCAAAATTAAACTTATTTAAATAAATCAGCTTTGTTTGAAATAAATCAGCTTTGTTTGAACTACATTGTTCAAATTAGGTTGATGCTACTTTAAAAAAAATTGAGTTCAGAATAAATACTGGAGATCAAGAAGCAAATTGTATATTGGTAAGGCTTGCTTCTTTAAGATTAACAGATAAATTTGCGTTTTTACTAATCTTATATGATTAATATCTACATGCAAAATTTGCATTAACTCCATAATATAATATTTAATAGGCATGAATAATATTTTGGAAACATACTTAAACCACACAAGTCTGGAACCATACATGGTGAATTTCACATTGTCTGGAACCATAAATGGTGAGTTTCACAAAATTGGATGTTTTCACATTCCATGTGAAAACATCCAATTTTTTTTGAAAATGCAACCATAAGTCTCAGATTTTGCTGATTTTTAAACCACTTAAAGGTTTTAGTAAATTGTGAACATCCTGAAAATTTTATCGTCTAATTTCAATCGGTTCCTAAGATATAGATATTTTAAGTTGGCCTCCAACCAACAAAAATCCGCCATTTTTAAAAAATGTGTTGGAAAGCTGAAAATTTGTACCTTTACATATTTTGGGCCAACGAATCCAATGAAACAACTTAAAATATTTAAAAACAAGCATAACACCTAAAATTTGAACGTTTACCACAATTTTACTGGGGCGAGTCCGATCACAAAAATGCCGATGTAGCTTGATTTTTTTTTTTAAACTTAATTTGAATATCATTTATAATAATATTTATCTCTGTAACCATGCCTATCCACCAAAAGGAATCGTACTTGCATGCAACAAAATCATTTAGATTTGGTACAATAACAACATCAGTATAAATCTGTCACCACATTGATGTTCGCTTGTTCTTTTAAAACTAATTTCAAATTTTGAAATAGGTATGTAATGATGATAACTTCTGGTACCTGGGACAGTTTTTCCTGTTTCAAATCGCTCCTTTAGTTGCTGTCTTCTTGCATTAACTGTTTCTTTGGAAATTTTATAAAATATGGTTGTGTTTATATTGGTGATGCAAAACTCAAGCATATTATCAACTGTTAATATTTGGTTTTCCAATGCCCTTTGCAAACTTGCTCTTGCTGTTATTCTTTTAACGATACCACCTATGCCATCACAAGTGAATTTTCCATGGCTGGTTGCAAAAAATACCCATGTAGCTGTAATCTTGAAATCTTCCTTATGGTGGCATAGTTTTATAAAGTTTTTATAGTTTTTATAATGAGCAGAACATCCATCAGAAAAATAATAAATTTTATTGATACTAACTAAATATTCCTTGATGTACTCTACAATTTTCTTTTGAAATTCATACACAAAGCATGTATCATTATCATTGTCATCACTTAAAAAACAGAATGACTCATGCTGAATATTTGTTTTAGAAAATTCCTTAAAATATATAACAACAGGATGAAGTGTACATTGTTGTTTATTCCAATGATAACTTTGTATTTTATCCTGTATAACAAATTGATAGTTCTCTGCAAAATCTGCCTGTATAATACATTCATTGTAACCTAAATTATTTTTTAGTTCTTTCAAATAGCGGGTTTAGCATTTAGCAATATATGATTGTGAAGTTAGATGATTAATGTGAGAAACAACTAGTTCTTTATATTCAAATAAGTTAACTGATTGAGTAATAAATTGTGATCTATCAGTACTTTGCCATAATATCAATTAATTCCTCATCTAAAAATGACTTGGAGATTAGGCACATCTATGAACCATGCATTTATTATTGCTTGTATCACATACTAATTTTGACATTAAATCTTTGTATGTAACATTTCATTGGACAGCATTTACGAGCAATATTGAGTTTTGATAGTAAATACAAACACATACACAGTGTGTACCATTTGGTCCCACACTAATACACCATTTTGGACGCAAACTACAAAACTTTGAAAATCCTATTTTATAATTAGGGTATTTACTTTTAAAATCAATATAAAGCTCATAAAGGTTGTACAATAATAATCTTTTTTTTGTGGAGAACCACTTTTAACTTTAACACAATCTTTTTTAACAGGCATAATTCTAGAATGTTCATCTTGTTAAAAAAAATCTTGAACTAAAGCTGTAAGAAAGTCAGGTATTTTTTGACCTATTTTCTTCTCAGGTATAGCAAGAATTCCATTTTCACTTTTAAGTTTCCTAGCATGTCAAATAAGATGTTCAGAAACTTCAAAATATTCTGAAGCATATTTTCTAGACCAAGATTCAGGTTTAAATGTTAATATTTGAATTTTTTTTTTAATTGTTCAACTTTAAGTTTTTTCTTAATTAAAGTTGTCAAATGATCAAGATCATTTGCTTTTTTTTATCCATAGGATGACTGGAAAAAGTCGAAGCTACACTAAAGTTATCTGTATTTACTCCATAAGCACTTGCTACACCTTCTTCCATTTTTGTGTAGGCTTTGACTAATTTTCTTTTTGCTGTTACAACTCGTTGATGCTTTGCGACACCATGAACTTTAATTGGTGTGACTCCAATTGATATTAAAGAGTTGTCTAATTGTTGTTTATTACAAGATTTATCTTTAACAAATAATACATCGCCATCAATTTCACTATCCATTTCATTATCAGAAACTTTATCGCGATTTGACAAAAACTGAATACATGAGCGACAAAATTTCCATCCTGGTTTACAGTCTAGATTTTTGGATTTAAGGTTATGAGCCATTTCAAGAGATATGGTTATTTGACCTAAAATAAAATCAATAATTTTAAATAAACATACCCTGCTTCTAAATTTATATATATATATATATATATATATATATATATATATATATATATATATATATATATATATTATAATATATTAGTTTATATAATATATTAATTTATATAATATATATATATATATATATATATTATATTATAATATATTAATTTATATAATATATATATATATATATATATATATATATTATATTATAATATATTAATTTATATAATATATATATATATATAAGTTAATATATAATAAATAATTATATATATATGCGGTAGTTGTGTAGTGGTAGACCGCTCGGTTCATAAGCGAGAGGTTCTGAGTTCGATCCCCACCACGTCCCTGGTAGTACCGCACTCAACTTGTTTCTCCGTACAGCTGCCTTATTTGTCAAGGTTCGTGTGTCGGAGTTATAGAGTCAAGAGAGGGTTATAACCATAAATAAGTAGCCTCCTCGTCTATAGTGGCCTTCTCGGCCTTGAGGAGGTGAATTATCAAAAAATATATATATTACCTTTAACCTTTTTTTTGTGTCTTTTTAAAACATCGCAACACACATCATTCTTTAGTAGAAATATCGGTCCAAAAACCTGCTCATGATGATAACAAATAGACTTTATCTCTTTGTATGATGTAGTCTCAAGCAAACCAGACCTCCAAATATAAGTATCTTGAAAGTCCTTTTTTAGATTACAAAAATCTTTTAATCCTTGTTTTCGAACAAAACATATTTTGTGACATTCATCTTTTAAAACTTTTCCAAACCCACAAGATTCCATTTTATCAATATACTATTATTATTTCTGAAAAAGATGCAAGAAAAATCTATGATTCATTCAATGTGTTCATGGGGTCAAGGTTGTTTAGGACTAGAAATTTAAACTTAATTAGTAAGCATTCTAACTTTAATTTTACAACCTTATAAACATTTCTAAACCATAAAACTACTAAAAAAATAGAAAGAGCAATTCAACAACATCTAAAAGAACATTTCGATATAGTCAAAACTGTTTCAGCTTCAGAACTGTCAAATTATCACATCTTTTTGTATAGTTTAATTTATCAAAATACCTGTTTTTTAAGCAATAAATTTAAGTAGATTTGACCATATTTTTATTTCTGTTTTAGAAAAGACCACTCTCCAATTCTTTGTAGTAACTATAGCTTAACTATTTAGAACAACTTCTTTAAAAAAAAACAAAAAAAAAACAAGCTACATCGGCATTTTTGTGAACGGACTCGCCCCAGTAAAATTGTAGTAAACGTTCAAATTTTAGGTGTTATGCTTGTTTTTAAATATTTTAAGTTGTTTCATTGGATTCGTTGGCCCAAAATATGTAAAGGTACAAATTTTCAGCTTTCCAACACACATATAACAGAAACTAGGACCAAAATCATTTTAAAAAATGGCGGATTTTTGTTGGTTGGAGGCAAACTTAAAATATCTATATCTTAGGAACCGATTGAAATTAGAAGATAAAATTTTCAGGATGTTCATAATTTACTAAAATCTTTAAGTGGTTTAAAAATCAAAAAAATCAGAGACTTAGGGTTGCATGCCCTGGATGTTTTCACATGGAATCTCCCACATGTTAAACTTAAAAAAGAAGTTAATATAATTATGTAATATAATATTAGAACATTCAATAATTTTCTTAACATTGAAAAAAAGACGATATTTAACTATGGCTACTGGTATTGTTTTTTATCATCGCTTCTACATGTTTCATTCATTCAAAGAATTTTCTAGATGGGTAATTTTTTCATATAGTTTCTTGTGATTTGTACAGTTTCTGATATTTTAAATATTTTCACATGGTTTGTGCATTATATATATTTTCTAGTTGCTGGTGTTTTTTTTTTGATTTCTTACCTAATAATATTTAATAAGGTAGAGCGGGGTATAGTTGAGCATAGGGGTAAGTTGGGCAGTTAAAATATCTCAAAAAACTACGCATCACATGACAAAACATCTAATGGATGAAAGTTAGGGAATTAGAATGTAAACATAATACACAACAAAAGATTGCCGAAAAGCTATTGAGTAAGATACACTGGGACTTTTTCTATTTTGGACTAAAAAAGTAAAAAAAAAAATTATTTTGCTTATTTTCTCTTGTATGCTTATAAACTTTTTTATCTGCCATCACTTAAGTGTTGATAATTTACCAATTTATTGGACTTTTGGTTAAAATTAATTGTTTTTTCAAAAGTCTTACTATTCTTTTTAAAACCTAACTAATGCGTCATCTTGTCTAGTAGGGGTAAGTTGAGCAGCTTTGAGAAAAATTAAAAAAACTGAACTATGGAACACAAAAGAAACAACTTTGATGAGAAATAATAGAGCGGTACATTATTTATGTATATTTTTAAAATTAGTAATTTTATTTCGGGCTTTAATTTTTATATTTTATGACACTTTCTTACTATTTAATTTTTCATCTTTTTTTACTTATGTCATTAAAGTGTATAAAATGTGTATAAACTATACACACGCTAACTGTTGATGAAAGTTTTATCAATGATTCATCTAAGTTTCGTACAATACATATTCATTTATTTGTTGTTTTTTGAACTTATCACACAATATTGCTTAACTTACTCCGCTGGGGCAGGTTGAGCATTATTTTTTTATACAGTTGAAAGTACTTAGTAAAGTAAGAATTCCTGTAAAATTTTAGCTTTTAGGTCCATGAAGATCCTTAAATATCACCATTTTATTTTTAGCAAATATTGGCAGTCCCTTCTTATTTTTGCACTGTTTATTTAGAGGTTTCAATTTACGTAACTTTTAGAAAATTTGATTTTTTTACTTAGAAATTTGTACCTGGCTATTTTCAGGGGTGATGAATCTAATAAAATAATCAGAAATGTAAAATATTATTATTAAGTACCTGTAATTATCAGTTTAAATATATTTAGGCAATTTATTTATACGCCTGTTTTTAATGCCCAAGAAGGCCATGTGGCTTTAATGATATCAAAAAAAAAATTTACAAATCATTTTGATATTCATTGACCTTTCAGAAACGTTAGAATCTTGATCTACAAGTATATGGATTACTATATATGGGTAACAGGGCACTTTTTTGTAGCAGAATAATGTGATTAAATTTTTACTGCCTTCCCGACTAGCTGGAGCTCTGAAACTTTCAGCATTTATGTAGTTCTGATAAACGCCTGTTAAAATTGTTTCCAGGGCAGATGACCAGAGGATCCATGGGGTAGGGGCACTGGGGCCCATGCCCCACTTATTTTCTCAAAAAAAAATAATTTTTTATTTTTAACAAAGTAAAGATAAATTTGAAAATATTGTCTTCAAAATTTTTTTTGGTTTATACTTGTTATGTTTGGTTTCTGATAATTCTATATTTAATGATCTTTCAGATGTTTTAATAAATTTCATGTTTATAAGTATTTTGATTTGCAAACATACGGATTAAAAACATTCATCTAAAATAATGATTTTAACAGAATTTTACATTTAATAATATAAAACTTTTGGAATTGAAAAAAATTGATATATTTTAAAGCATTAATTACTTAAATAACTAATTAAAATAATCTTATTAAAACATTTTAATGTTAAAGCGTTAACAGCTAGTTGCTTAAATAACTAATTAAACTAATCTTATTAAATCTAAAAATTAACTAAAAACTAAATATCCTCAAGAAGTTAATAGGTTTTTTAAATATTGCATTTTAAATCCAAAAAAAGTGTAAATATTGGAGCATCAGGGACTCACCATCATGTACCCACCATCAAAATGCAATACTCTTGACCAATGCTATAAAACTAAAATGCACTTACAAAGAGCTGATAGCAAAATTTATTTGTGATGTGACAAGCAACAAGTGCATGGTTCATTGATGTTTAAACTGTCTAGGTACAATTTCTTTTAGCAAGTTTCTTGATGCACAGCCAATTGACAATTACAATGATGAGGAGGCATCATTTAATCAGTAGCAGAAAAACAGACAGAACAACATCGATCTGTCAGACAACAACAACTGAAGAATACAAATTGATTTGTTATCAAAGACAATAAACAAGTTAACAACTTATTCCTGCATTTCAAAATACCTAAGGCAACAAAAGGAAAAGTTAGCAAAAGACTACTGTATTGTCATAAGTGACTTTGCAGAAAACTACACGTTTGCGATTCAAGATCCAAAGTTACCATTTCTGGTATTGAAAAAGCTCAACCTAATCAGCAAATTAACATAGATATGAAATTTGACATATTTATTTTGTGTGATATGATTTCATTAGATTGGTATGGTAAATATAATTGTCAATATTGAGGAAGATGTTATAGTAATGTTTATGCACTAGCACAGTCTTTTTAAAAAACTTTTCTGGCCATCTAGAACAGATGAACGTTGGGTTCCGATTACCAACATAATTTGTATCATTTATGTGTAACAATCTGTATTAATTGTAATCTTAATCACAAAATCAAATCACAATCATTTTACTTTTTTGTATTTTATTTTGTAAATATTTAACTAAACCGGAAAAAGTATTAATTAGAAAAATTTTTCTAAAGTTATCTTTACTTTGTTAAAAATGAAATTTTTTTTAAGAAAATAAGTGGGGCATGGCCCCTGGCCCCGTGGACCCCTAGTTGTTTGCCCTAGAAAAATTTTAACACATGTTCATCAGGACTACTATGTAAGTTTGTGTGAATGCTGAAAGTTTCAGAGCTCCAACTAGTCTGAAAGGTAGTGAAAAATTAATCACAATATTCCACTTCAAAAAAGTCCGGACCATGCCTCGTTATCCATATATGGAAATCAATATACTTGCAGATCAAAATCCTTATGTTTTTTGAAAGTTCAATGAACATAGAATGATGAGAAATTTTTTTTGATACCATCTAGACCACATAGCATTAAAAAAGGTATATAAAAAATTGCTTAAGTTTATATGAATTGATAATTACAGGTATTTAATAATAATATTTTACATTTCCGACCATTTAATTGGTCACCCCTGAAAATAGCCAAGTACAAATTTTTAAGTAAATAATCAAGTATTTTTAAATTTATATGACTTAAAAACCTTAAAATAAACTTGAAATAATTTTTCAGAATAAATTAATTTACTTAAAAATATTGAACTAAATAAGATATAGGTATTTAAATGAATTGTTAGGATATATAAAAGCTAGGATATATATATATATATATATATATATATATATATATATATATATATATATATATATATATATATATATATATATATATATATATATATATATATACTGGCTTGGTCGGGAAGCGGGAGTGATGGCTCTCAAATACTGACCACGGAAATTATATTTACTTGCGAAAAACTGGCCAGGTTTTTTAGTCGTTTTGAGAACATTTAAAGGGATCCCAAACTCCCAACACATGTTGTGTTCATATTAAAGATAATGTTGAAAAAAAAGGTTTGAACCAAATTTTTTTGATTAAAAATAAATAATGAATGCATACCGAGAAAAACAAATGTTGTTGTTTTTGCCGAAGCTCGTCTTCTCCATTTTTTTCAACTAATCGGAGTCTTTAAATTATGCGTCGCAATCTACAGACTTTGACAATTCCTTTGAAGCGCGTTTAATTCATAAAAGTTTTAGTATTTGACGTCAAGGTAGACTTTTAACAAAAGAAAAGTGTAATTAAACTAAGCTGCGTTTTTCTACTGTAGTATTTTTTTAACATACAGCAAAACAAATTTATTTGTATTATTTTTCTAAACATCGCAAAAAAAAATTTGTAAAAAGAAAAAATGATAAATTATTTTTATTTTATAGGAGCAACTTGTTTTTTACAGATATCTTAATAATTATTCGATTTATATATCTTACTTATATTTATTTTGTTTTTAAATTAAAACAAATATTAAAGCTTTACTTACCAATCTTATGATTTTCTTACAAGTATTTTACATTATATAGAACATTATATAAACGGTCTCTCGTTTTTGTGCAAGAGAACGCAGTATTATATATTCTAAATCTTACAATCAAAACTATTTTCTAACTTCTCTGGTCATTTTTACGCTATGAAGTTTTTTGTTTTTCCGTCGAAAAAAAGTAATTACAAGCAATTGCTTTCATTTAATTAGAGATATTTGATGAACTGTTAAATTTTTTTATTATAAAAATTTTTTGATTATGCTGATTACACAATATCGCATATTGATTACACAATATCGCATATTGATTACACAATATCGCATATTGATTACACAATATCGCATAATTTAGGGGCTTCTTATTTATTTCTAAGTCGTTCTAAATAATAAGTAAATATAGTTAAAGTTCATATTTTAATAATTACAGTTGCAATATAACAAAAAAAAAAAGTTCAATGTTGAACTTTTTATTTAGTTATTTATTTTTTACCTACATTTGTTATAAAAAGACTTTAGTACCCCCGTCATTTAAATAATTTGCTTTAAATATATTTCGACGTGATTATTCAAATAAATTTTTTTCGTTTGACTTCCCCAAGCCAATTGAGACAAAATATCGTCTAACCAAATAAAAATGCTGTTACTAATTTTATACGGGTAATTAATGTAAAACATTTATTTATCAGAGTCTTATAATTGAGATAATAATTTTATACGGGTAATTAATGTAAAACATTTTTTTGATTGAGATAATAAATATTCATAATTTATAAACATTAAATATATGGCGCAATAACAATTTATAGCAACGAACCAGCATAAAAGATTTAAAGTTTTTAATATCTTTTT